CTGTGCTTGTTACAGGCTCCCAGGAGTCACATAGCTCGTCATGACCATGAGAGAAGTTCTTGGAGTCCGACATAATCGCCCGACCCATGGAGTGGCTCGCTATACCGGCACAATCCGTTCGCATCTTCTGCTCCCCGGATGAAATCTCTCCTAGTGGCACTGGTATGTTCATACCTTCAATCTGAGTCCTTCTGGTCGGCGAGATCGTGATGCCTTATGAAAGCAACTGTCGCAAGGTGGACATTCCAATAGTTCGAAATGCAGGTGGTAGCAAGGGAGTAAGGACGAGGCAATACAACGCGAGAACAAGACTAGTATGAGATAGGACACTGGCAGTGCTTATCATTGACGAGCGGCGGAATCGTGAGACGAAGGCGTTAGTGGCAAGTCACAGCTTGGGATACCGTATCCATCCTATTCAAGTGCGGCTTAGAACAAGGAAATGCAGAGATTTAAGTCAGTATTTCGAAAGGCACACTTGCGGCTCATGTTGGGCAAAGTCAACAGTCGCGATCATCGTAGATAGGCTGTCATATACCCTGTCCAGGACACGCCATCTACTAGTAGAAAGTACTATCGTTGCGTCATGCTCGTCTCCTAGTAGTGAGGATCACATACCCGGTGAAAATTCAAGTATATCGTGTGCACATCACATTAAGTAGCATTGACCGCAAGGGGCGTTCAGGCTCACTCGTCCCTCAGGGCCAGGTCCTTCGCATCGGCGCTCCCCAGTCTGTTCCAACACCTTTAACCTCTTGAATAAATAAGCTTCTCGGAGACCATTTGCGTGGACTTAACACTTATTCGTGAAAACTTCGTGTAAACCCGTCAGAATTACACTATGCTCAGGATAAAGGCCTTGAGGCGAGTGCGGTGACTCCCTGCCTCACATTGAACCTTTCCCTAACCTACGTATTTGGAGACGTGAGGCATGTAATTGTATCCACGCAGGCGGTCCGAAGGATGTTGTAAGCACCCGTAGATCTTGAGGACTTGCCGCAGTGTGCCTTGGGGGAACCTTGCATCAAGTTCACCAGCACCCTTTCAGAGCTATTCTCCAAAACCGTGTGCGATTGGTAGCCCAAGATTCTGAAGCCCAGGAGATATCATATCTCGACGAGAGTATGACGATGCAGAAGATCATCTCTGAGATGCGAGTCGCGAAACAAAGTCATATTATTATATCCATTCGTGGTACATAAACTGACAAGAAAATATCGTGGATGATGAAAACAGGTAAGGTGCGTCAGCATTCATTATTCCAACGAAACTGCCCCTTCATCATCGCAACGTCTTTACGAGCATCAGATCAATTCTCGGGAACTGAAATGATGCAATTCAGTCAAGGGTAAGGTAGACGTCCACGAGAAGACGTACTTGGTGGGTAGTCAACCTCATCATCGTTCAAGTACCAAGCACCTGAGGAACAGAAATCAGCCAATCGTAAGGGCGCACAGGTGAGCAAAAGGTAATCACGGTCTCCGGTCATAGTCTTCTCGGCGTATGTCTGGCCATCACCCAGCCAGTAGAAGCGGTTGCGCACCGGGTCGAGAGGCTCGAAGGTGTAATCTTCCCAGCGAGGACGCTCCAGCGCGCGCACCGCGTGCAATGATGACCCTGATTGACGAGGCGATATGTCAGAATTGAGAATTGCTGTAGTTTTGGGAGGTACGCACCAGGATACAATCCGGTGACTCGGCCTTGCTCATTTCCCATCTTGTACCAGGAGCGGCATTGTTCACTGTAGACGGTCTGGATTACTGGATCAGCAAGTGCGGCGTTGGCGAACATGAACATGTTCTCACCTTTGGGAAGTGGTGCTACACATAAGTTGCACACATTAGTCGCCTCGCTTGCGGTAAACGTAGTTCCCGACACTCACCTCCAGATACTCGTCAAAGTCCCGCACAGCCGCTGGCATCGCCTCGATGCTCTTGAGCCTCTCGCGCTGCAGCTTCTGCGCAGCCTGCACGGCGTATGCGACCTGGCGCTCCATGATGATGAGCAGCGAGCCTGAGCCGACACAGCCGTTCGGGCCAAGGGAGAAAAACCAGTTCGGGAACCCATCGACGGCAATCGTGAGGTATGTCTCCGGGTATGGGCGCCACTTGTCCTGGAGCACCACCCCGTCACGCCCGATCATGGGGAACTCAAACTGGCAGGAGGTGTCATAACCTGTATGGAACCGTCTGGTAAGTAGTATGCCGCAAGCATGCGGAGATGTATGCGGACCTGTCGCGCAGATGATGATATCATACTCCTCCTGCTTCCCGTCGACAGTTTCAATGCCATTGGGCGTAATGCGCTTGATGTGGGTGGTGACGAAATCAACCTGAACAACCATGTTTAACACCCCGCCAGAAAGAGCTACAATGTTACATACGTGGTCTTCGCAGAGTGCCTCAAGATAGCCGGGCCCAGGTGTCAGGCGGCGGCAAGCCACCGCAAAATCGGGCACCACTACACTCAGGCAGAACGTCAGGACAGGTCATGTATAGATACAAGGCACGCACAATGATCTGCAATCCAAGGCTTCTTAGCCAGCTTCTTCTTCATGCTCTCCTGGAATGCCGCCCGGGTCTCTTCCTGCATGGTGGTACCCTTAAGAGTAGCCGCATGCATAGACTACATGTACATCAGAAACGCAGATCCACGATGAATCAGGGAAAACCGCACGTTGATATCTGCTTCCAGGTCATGCCTAAAGCGCTTATAGTACTCAGGGTCCTGGAACTTGTCTTTGTCCTCCTTGGTGAAGACGTCTGATACAAAGGGTGAGACAGTGTCCGGCGCAGGCTAGCGGTCTTATTTGACTCACAGTTATCGGTACTAGGGTCACGATCGACAAGTTCCGCTATCTTTGAGCCGGAGAAGGGCGTGGAGAGCCAGGTCTTTCCGCGCACGTAGTTCGTCAGGTGGGCGACCTTGTCCTGCAATGCCGGGACGATCTGGATGGCGCTGGAGCCCTATTGCAGAAAGAAGTCAGCGCTGCACGCCACCAGACGAGGGGCTATCCTTACCACACCAATAACAGCGACTTTCTTGTCCTTCCAACTCTTCGCGGCCTCCTGCCACGTCTCATCGCCCGTGTCAAAGTTCGCGCTATGGAACAGCTTCCCTCCAAAGCTCTTCAGGCCCTCGATTTCTGGCCAGGACCAGCGCGAGATCAAGCCGACGCCGGTAAACAAAAAGTCCGCCGCGTCGTCGAACTCTTCGGAAATCTCGCCGTCGGGCGTAGAGAGCGTCTTACGGATGCGCAGGAGCCACTTGCCAGAGGGCTCATCGTACCGCGCATGCACGAGCTGGTGGCGGAGCTTGAGAAGAGGCCCGAGCTTGTACTTCTCGACGACGCCCTCGAGGTACTGTCGGATCTCTTGACCAGGGGCGTAAAAGGATGACCAGTTCGTCTAGGAGTTGACCGTGGAGTGAGTTGCTTGCAAATATGGGAGTCATAGTGTGCTCACGTTCGTCTCGAAAGTCAATTGATACTGGACCTGCGGTTAGCCGGCGATTCTCTGTTTTGGTGGACGCGGAACTTACGCAGTGCGCAGGAATATCACAGGCCAAGCCCGGGTACTTGTTACTGTGCCAGGTCCCACCTACTCCCGCATTCTTCTCGTAGATGGTGAGGTCGATGTTGGGAATCTTCTGGCGGAATCTGTAGGATGCTTAGCTACCAGATAATTCCCTGTTACATAAAAAGTACATGCCGAATGCCGGCGATGATGCCACTGAACCCAGCCCCAACCACAACGACCCTCATGGGCCTGTATTCATCGATGGAGAAGTCACCGGTCTTAAAAGCTGAATCTATAGATGGATGATCCATCCCGTTGGAAGCGTCCGAGTAAGAAGATCTGTTGCTCATTGCTGTATCTGTAGTTGTTGAAGTATCGAGAGCAACTGAATCTGTGGGCGGTGGTGCTTGGAATCCCCGGACTCTCCATGGCGCACGTATATATGCAAACTCGTTCCTTTAGCCAGCACTTGCATCTGCCTACGCTCGACGCGCAACGCTCAGAAGAAACCGGCCGAGACGGTCGGACAGCCTGACAGCTATCCGACTCGGGCAGGAAAAACGCGACGCCAACGCACACCCGTCATCGAACGCTGCAGGAATCTCTGGTCCGGTCGCAAGAAGCCTCAATCGTATTCGCTACATACCACCGGTGCTTGCATCGTTACGATGGATCTCGTCGATGTCCGCTTTGACGAGTGACAGTTCAGCGTCAGTAAGGTAGATTGTTACGGCCATGAACGGCATAAGTGCGGACCCACCAAGAAGACACCTTCGCACTGACAGCGTCTGCAAGCTCGTATTTGCATTGATGCCGTTTGCTCGCCAGTAGATTCTTCGCTCGATGCGAATGTGAAATGCAGTTGATGCGCCGAGGAAGACTGATAACGATGTCTTACACAGCTCCTCAGTTCTATACCAGGTGGAGACATCGAACTCCAAGTGTTTCCGAGTAGACAGCTCGTGACAATCACGATACATGAATCAATGATGCATGACTGCTCACGCCGACACCGGCTCGGACTCCTGAATAAGCTTGAAGTCTACTGCCGGGCGGTCACCGGTATCCGTTCCCGTCTAAGCGGAGGATGCGCCTATGAAGAGCCGCAATTGACCCAAGCAAATGCGAATCTTGTAATATTTGCCGGGGAAATGTCGTCTCTTGTGGAACGGTAATCAGACATGCGATGTATGCTTCTTTCTGCCTGGCAGCGCCTAAGGCAAAGAGGCCCGAGACTGTTGCTTGAGTGAACCGTCAAGGCTGATTAGAGAGAGACAATGTGAATAACAAGCAATCAGCCCAGTTTACGTGTGTTATGAAAATCGCCAGACACATTCGACAGAGTTGTGAAAATGAATGGAGATGGAGTATAGAATCTCCGGGAAGGCCGGAAGATGCGGCCCCAGAACGGATAGAAGCTGGGCCCGAACCGCGCACCGAGACAGCAAACGCTAAACCTAAAAAGAGTCTACAAAAAGCAATTGCCACGTACCCGGGTCGAACGAGTGACCTTCGCATATCCCACCATGCTGGTGTTACAAGTGCGACGCGCTACCACTACGCTAACGCGGCTTGTTGCTGTTCAATCTCTGTACATATCTACTGCGTTGCGCACCTCAATTACGGGCGCAGCGAACGGCGGGATTTTCTCAATATGGCATTCCCTCTCCCGCCATCCCGACCTTGAGAGGCGGATCAGACCATTTAGGTGGTCGTATGTATGTCCTCTAAATTCTCCTGAAGCTCATGCGTAACCCGACAACACTGAGCATCGGCCGCGTTTATGCCTTGCATTACCTGACATCCATCTCTCCAAAGGAACAAAGCAATTTGAAACAAGCGTGAGTGATCCGTCAGCTATCAAACCATCCCGTTCTCGCCATCTCTTCAGCTAGGCCCTCCCATCCCTTCTTCCTCGCCTTCCTCCCCGCGAGCTCCGTCGCAAATCTAAGACACTCCTCCAGCCTCCACCGCGGCTTCTCCCGCTCGGAGTCGGCCGCACGTGTCGTAGTCCTGTCCCGCCCTGCCGCGGAGGGTGTATACGGCTCGCCGGGGAGCATGCGCCTGCTCAGCGCATAGATCATTCCGGCGACAAAAGCCTCCTGCGCGCCCGCCTCGTCGACCGCGCCGCCGCCCACCAACAGGTCCCGCGACGCCTGCCGCTGGATGGCCCGCGATCTCGACTCCCCCGCGGCGATCTGTGTCCCGTCCGAATCAGACGAGTCCGGGTCGTCTCCGCGCGCGCCCGAGCGGACGCCCCGCCCGGGCGTGCGCTCGGCCGCGCCGGGGGGCGCAAGCTCAGACGCCCCGGCGGTGAACAGGCTGGACGACTCTGTGTTCCGCTCCGAGCCTGCCCAGAAGTCGCTGCCGGTGCGCACGGAGCGCACATCGCCGTCCGCAAAGCCGCCCTCCGGCACGCGCGGGATGTTCACGCGCAGTCTGTCAGGCGCGTCCGTGGCGCCCCCCGCACCGGCCCCGCCGTCGGCCCACCCGGAGCTCTGGAAGTACTCGCGCGTGGGCACGGAGAGCACCGCCGCGCCCTCTGCACCCCAGTGCGCGACGAGCAGCGCATGTGGTGGGGCAATCGAGACGAGCGAGAGCAGGAATGCGCGCGGGGAGCTTGCGTATTGGGGCGAGTGCGCGCGGGCGTAGTGGGCGTTCAGGAAGAGGACGTCTACGTGCGGAATTAGCTGCAGAGGGTCGCCGCATAGGTAAGCTACGGCTAGAAGGAGACAATGAGGTTCGCACCGCTTCGAGGCCCTGCCTTGCTCGACGTCCCACGTCGACGCTGAACACGCAATGGCTGCGCCACTTCCGATCCCGCGCGAGACCATCCAGCCCGACGATGTTGCTGAGGGTCGTCTTCACAGACCGTCCCTCAAAGTGGATCCAATCGAACGGTGCTGGACTGTTGATGGCGGGTCGTTGCGTTGCGGTTACTAGAGGCGGTGCAGACGGTGCAGCACGCGGCGAGAGTGTATGGAGGTGGTTGAGGGTATTCACAGGAGAGTTCGGTGAAGAGGAATTATTGGAAAGTTGACTGTTGTGAGCGGAGGTTGCAGAGGAGACGTGATTATAGTTCTCCGGTGCAAGAAGCGGTCCAAGGAGGGACACGAAGTCCTCATGCGTTATATCTGGAAGGGGGTTGTTGTTGATCACAGTCCGGGAACCTGTGTCGTCTGCGTTGCGGAGGGTTCGTCAGAGAGATAGATCCGGAGCATCTTCAGAACCACGTCTCAGGAGAGAAGAAAGATCATTCTGTTCGGGTTAGCGTTCATGTATGGTATCAAGTTCAAAGAGGAGTAGACAGTTGGCATTGTATGACAGTCTTGGGCTCCCAAAGAGTGAGATCCGCACAGCAGTAGTCCGGATCGTTGTCTATCTCGGCAAACAGACATACGCTCACTAACCTGCATGCAACACCCATGCGCTCGGCACACCCGCCTCCTCCCACACCTTGCAATATCGCGTGCTGACCCGCTCCTTCTCCAGCTCTTCCAAGATTCGCCTGCCATCCTCATTTCCGCCCAATGGTGCGACCAGCAGCGCCTCGGTGCCAGGGAACTGCGCTAGGAGCGACAGGCAAGTACTTGCGGACCCTCCTCGTGTGCGGCTCACGGAGTGTGCTCGAGATACGCTGTGGGCAGCAGGATGCGACGGCAAAGACAGCGTCTGCGTGATAAACAGTGTCCCGGAGGCGACGATGCGAAGCGGGCGGTGTGCGGTCGAGACAAGCGTGTCCTGGGTATCGCGGCGAAGACGGGTCATGGTATATCTACACGTCCGAGATCATGGGTGCAGCATGAGAGCCGTGCAGACATTGCAACAGCGTCCGGTGGATCGTCGGTTCTCTGCATGATGGCCAGGAAAGGAAGGAGGCGAACTCCAGACTCGACCGCCCTGCTCAGACCCACAAAATACTCTCCTGCGTCGCACTGTGCTTGCCGAACCTTGCGACGCCCGGATTATCCAGGAAAACTCCTCCAGTCGCATGCCCGGATGCCCAACACCCGCCGCCGCCGCCCGCACCATCCGACCTCGCGCTGGAGGGACATCCACGCGCCTATCGCAAGCTCTCAGCCGTTTTCATCTCACCCCATCTCCGGTGCTGAATTCGCTCGCTCGTCCTACGGCCGCCCAGGTGTGCACGAGCCACCACGCAGCCTATTTCCCGCACAAGAGACCAGCTATGGCGGAAACTACGAAGTGCGGAGACACCCCGATTTTGCCTCCTACCACGTTTCTCACCCTCAGGTCTACCATGACACCGACTCTGCTAGTTCTTCGCGTCCTCGCTCCCCGCCCCGAGAGCCGAGGGCATACCGCGAGGCGGACCGTTCGGTGACGCCCCCACCCCCGCGTCCGCCGTCACCAACCTACCTCGCGCTCGCGCAGGACCAGCCCTCGCGGTTATCCGACCCGACGGACTCTAGAAAGCTCTTGATTCTGGACCTGAATGGGACCCTGGTCTTCCGCTCGCAGGGCGGTCACAGACCACGGCCGAGATATCCATATGAGGACGGAGCACAGCAAGACGGCCCGCCAGTGCCCCGCCTGCGACCTGTGCACCCACGACCGTACATGCCGGCTTTCAGGCAGTATCTCTTCGCGGCAGAGACGAAGGCGTGGCTGGATGTCATGATCTGGTCGTCGGCACAGCCGCACAGCGTAGCCGACATGGTCGACAAGAGCTTCGGAGGAGACAAGGACGGGCTGTTGGCTATATGGGCACGAGATACGCTAGGATTGTCACAGGACCACTACCGTGCGGATCTCCTCTTGCCTCCCCACACCCTGCTTGAAGCGTGGCTGCTTCGTGAGTGGTAGTTCTGAAGCGACCACGGCTGCCTGCATTCCCGTGCATCCGTGGCCGCTTCAAACCTACGACTTCGCGCAACAGTGCGCTTTACGTACTTTCAAACGCCGCAGCGGCTCACTCCTGATCATTCCAGGGCGGAAGGTGCAAACCATCAAGGACCTCACGAAACCCTGGACACAACTGAATCAGCTTAACGAGATCCCTTATTCATCACGGTCCTCCGAAGCCAGCACCCCTCGATCCAGCCGCTCCCCAAGTCCCACCGCAGCGCGCTCGCCCGCCCGCGTGCACTCGGCGCTGACAACGCTCCTGCTCGACGACTCCCCGCGCAAGGCGGAGCTGCAGCCGTACAACCACGTGTGCATCGGCGAGTACTCCGCGGCCCTCCGCGCGAAGGACCTCGAGTCGTTCCAGAAGGGCTCGGAGTGGGACGCCGCGCAAGCCGCGCGCAGGGAGCTCGAGGCCTCGCTCGAGAACGGCGCTTCGGGGTCGACGGACGCGCCCGACACCGCCGCCGAGGACAGCGAGGCGCCGCTCTCGCCTGTCTCCCATGCGCAGGAGGATCCCGCGGCGGCTGACGCTGACGCTGACGCCGAGGACGGGACTGGGAAGAAACGCAAGCGCAAGGGCAAGAAGCACGAGAAGCGGCGGCAGAAGCTCGCGGAGCTCCTCGACGCGCTCGACGCGCCGCCGCCGGGGGAGTATGACGAGACGCTGCTCTGCGTCGTCGGCGTCCTCGAGGAGGTCAAGCACCAGCGCAACGTCGCGGCGTGGATCCGCGCAGGCGGGCTGTGGGGCCCGGATCGCGCGCCCGTGCGCCTGGAACGTGCGGAGGACGCGGGAGGGGACGGCGCCGAGAAGGCGGCACGGAAACGCGTGGACGGTGCAGCGGGCTCCGCCGACGGCGTCCCTTCACCTGCCGCGAGCGCGGACGCGGCGGAGCCCACGCAGCGGGATAAGAAGCGGAAACGGCGCCATCGCGCTGTGGAGCGCGAGGCACAAGCGTCTGTCGAGGCGGGCAACGACGCGGTCGCCGCCGCCGCCGAGGATGTGGCGGAGACCGCGGTCTCAGCAGACCCTGGCGCACCGGACGCGTCTTCGCAGGCGGAGGAGAGCCCTGCGCCGCTGATGTGGTTTGAGCATGCGCCAACAGTGGAGTACTGGGCAAAGAAAGGGCGAGAGGCGTTGACGAGGCTTGGAATACCAGTTGAGCATGGGATCGAGCGGTGACTGACGCTTCGGGCTGTCTTACGCCCCATTTTGGAAGGTGCGGGATGCATCGCTTTCACGACCGTAAGACGGCCTGACTGACTTCCATGACCGATTCGTAGCGTGGCATGATGGGATACCTCGGTATTGCCGGGAGCGTTGAGCGCAGTGTGACTGAAGTCAGCCTATCGCACAGCAGCTAGAAGTGGACTCGCGCAGGTGATACGTCTCGCATAACAGGCAATATCATTGGCGACGAAAGCTACTGTCACAGGATCAAAAGTGCGGAACTGGCTGACTACAAAACACGCAGAGTTCCTGCTTTTCAATGCTCTAGATGTACACCTGACAGGATCATAGATGTACAGCACATTACGCAGTAAGCCGAGCAATCATAGAGTAACAGTACAGACATCACAGAAGCGAAGAGTCGAAGAGCCGTCCGAATACGAAGTGCAAATACTGAAAGCATAAAAACTAGCATCGATGCTAAAACATACCCCATCCAGGTCTGGCGCGAAGCTGTAGTCCATGGAGGTGAAGC